AATAACTTCGTCAAAAGCATCGATACTGATTAATGGAACACCCACGGACGAGTTCACAACATCAAAGGGTGTTCGTCAAGGTGATCCATTGTCAACCATTTCTTTTTATCACGACAATGGAAGGATTAAGGGTTGCGATGAAAGAAACGTGCATTAATGGAGTTTTTCAAGGGCTGCAACTACCAAATGGAGGTCCATCCGTATCACACTTGTTGTATGCCGATGACACATTATTTATCGGCGAATGGACTGAGCACAATGTAAAAAACTTGGCCATAATTTTAAGATGCTTCCATGCATCTTTGGGGTTAAAAGTCAACTTCAATAAATTGAGAATTTTTTGGTTTAGGGGAAAATACGGATGAAGTGGCTCGATGGGCATATCCTCTTTGGCTGTGAACCCGCAAATTTGCCATTTAACTACCTTGGGGTACCCGCTGGTGCTAACATGCGCCTAAAGAAACATTGGCAACCGGTGATTGAACGGTTTAAAAAAAACTCACTTAATGGAAATCAAAGACTTTATCTTTTGGAGGAAGGCTCACTCTCATAAAATCGGTCCTTGGAAATCTTCCTATGTACTTCATGTCTCTTTTTGTCGCACTTGTTGGTATAATCAATAACTAAGGCGTAATTTCTTGTGGGGTGGTTTGGATGGCGAGTCCAAGATACATTGGGTATCTTGGGACATTTAATCGTTAATAAGAAAGCAAGGGGGCTTGGAGTTGGATCGATAAAGGCTTTCAACACAGCTTTAATAGTTAAATGGTGGTGGCGGTTTAGATCGAAACCAGGATCGATCTGGGAAAATGCTATATCATGCATACATAATCTCGCGGGTAAACCGGACCATGTCTTCTCAATTAAAACTTTAACCGGTGTATGGAACAATATTGCAGGCTCACAAAAAGATCTGGAGAAATATGGCATCACAACCGGTATGGTATTGGAAAAACAATCCACGAATGGAGGGTCGGGGTGGACTTGTCCTCTCACTAGTAACGGTGATTATAAGGTCAACACCTTAAGAAAGAAACTTGATGGTTGCAGTCTCGTCGATCTAGGTAGATTTGAATGGGTGAAAGAGATTTCAATCAAGGTAACTACATTTATTTGGCGAGCAAAACTAGGACGTATTCCAACTTCGGTGGCCCTAGCGAAAAGAGGTGTTAATGTAAACTCAACGACCTATTGTCAATGTGGGGATACGGAGGAAACACTGGACCATGTGTTGGTTCAATGCTCACATGCAAAAACGGTAATGGAGCGGATTTTTAAATGGTGCAACATTCGATCTACAAACTTTTCTTCCATTCAAGATGTACTCGATTATGCATCGAATTGGGGTAATTGCCCGAGAAAAAAAAACTGCTGGGAATCTGCTATGGTTCTTTTTGGAATATTTGGAAATCAAGGAATGATAGATTGTTCAACACCAAAAAATTGCATCCTACTAAAATGGCGGATATCATTGGGTTGTAATCTTATTATTTCACGGTTCATGTTTGTGACAACCCGAAATTTCTATCTTCTACAGTTAATCATTTCAATCAAGTTAAATTTGCTGCTGCTAACTTTTAGCACTTTTGGTGTCCGTTTGAGCGTTGTGAGCTTTAATACATCAAAGGATTAAGTGAATGAGTGTGTCAGTTGAACTTGTAACCTGTCAAACAAGCATTAGACCATGAAAATAGGAGTTCACGGCCAGGCACTTGGGTTTACGGCCGTAAACTCCAAGTGGCCGTGAACCCCTTGTATAAATATGACTTTTGGTCATTTTCCATTCATTCTTCACATTCTAAGCTAGAGAATTCGAAATTCTCTCCCAAGGATCTTGAGAGTTTTGCTTCCAATCTTCAATCTAGTAAGTAAACTTTTCATTTTCAACTTGATATCCTTCCATATCTAGTGAATACACATGATTTCATCCATGAAATCTCTTCTTTTGGATAGATCTTCAAGTGTTCTTCATTTCACCAAGAACACACATTAGTGTTCTTGAGCCTTAAACACCCAAACAAGCTTCTACATTGTAAGTACTCTTGTCTTAGCTTGTTATATACTAGAATCAATTAGTTTACACCTTGGAATCATCAAGAAAGCTGGAAAGGATGGTGTTTACGGCCAGGGCATCTCCCAAGGCCGTAAACTCTAATAAAGGGTGCAAAGTTGCCCTAAACTCCTTCCTAAGGCTTAGAACTTGGTCTAAAACACCTTCCCCTTGAGCTAAGGACCTTAAACATCAAAATAGCACACCTTGCCATGAGCTTACGGCCGTAATCACATGAGGGCCGCAAACCCTAGGCCGTAAACTCAAAGGGAGTTTACTCTTGGGCCGTGAACACCAATGTACACCCCTACAACCCTTATATGCAACCCTATGATCTTATAACACTTGAATCAAAGTGTTTTCCATGTTTTAGGGTGTTTATACTTGCTTAATTAGTGTTATAATCACTAATTAGATACATATATGTGTCTTTATATGTTAAATAGGATCATTGTGTGTGTTCAAGTCTTCACTTGACACCTAGCACCTTGTCCAGCACTTTCATCCAAACTACTCATTTCAGGTGAGTTCATACCCCTTAATCAACCTTTTAAATGTTTTTAAATGTTTTTAAATGCTTTTATGGGGGGAATACAAGTTGAATCATTATAGTTATTATATCAATCACATGTGATTAATAACTATCAAACAGTGGATTTTCTACACTTCTAGCTGTTTTACCAAGCAAACTAATTCAAAATATTTTCTCAAACTCTTTTACACGTTAAACTCTTTATCAAACTTATTTCCATATGCCAAACTGCTTTCACATTATTTTATAAAAATGATATCAAGTCACCAATATTTATCTAAACTTTTCAAAAGGTTTTACAAAACTATTTCTTAAAACTTAAGTATATTGTCAAAACCATGTCTAATGCATATATAGTTATATAAGTCAGGTTTGAAGGACTTAGGACTGACAACTCACTTTATTTCCTGTTCCTCGTTTGGTTGTGGACTTAGAGTACCCTGTTGTTTGTTCGAGTGTCGTTTGATCCTTAGTTATATATTATGTATATATGTATAAGACATAAAGGCTTTTATCTCATTCAAATTCATTCAGTTATACAAACAATTCTACTAGTAAACTATAATAGGTATAGTTTAGGAAGATACTACTCATTACTTCTAAGTACAATGAAACATACAAAGAGTCAGTTCATACATGAGTCAATACTTACTATATTAAAAACAGAACATACTATATGAGAAACGGAACATACTTTATGAGAAACAGAGAGAACATACAATACTCTAGTACATACAATACTCTAGTACATACAATACATATACAAGTATACTACAACATAAATGTGAACCACTGTTTCGGGGCATGGCATCACCTGCCATGGTTCGTTTTGTATCCTTAATCTCCTGGAGGGAGAGCATGAATTTGTGTATAGATCTATACTGGATTGACTATCTTACACCTTGCTGCTAGCTACAGTGGGATCTGCAGATCTTCGGGTGACAAATGTCATTACTGTTCGACGTATTACAGCGTTGTGTTTATCCCAGTCAATTAGTACGGTTACAATTATATCACATTATACCTTAATTAACAATTGGTTTAAGGTAGTTAGTACAGTAGTAGTTATTATAACATAATACTACGGTACATCGTTATTTTCCCATTACATCTACTTTGTGATCTCCTCACATAAACAGTAATGTAAAAACTATATTTTACTAAATGATAGTCACATTTGGGAGAAACACTCACTTTTACAACGAACAAACATACAGTATCTGACGCCTTGGTAGAAGGCTACTTTTAATAGAAAATATAGGATTTTCTAGGAGTTACAAACCATCACCTACAAACATTTTTACAACGTACACACTCAAACACTTACAAACATTTTACAAACGTACACACTCAAACACTTCCAAACATTTACAAACTTATATATTCAAACGTTTACAAACATTTTCATACAAACAATGACACTAAAATACTTATGAACTCATCAGCTTTAATGCTGATAAACTCTTTCAAAATAACTTGTATTCTCAGGTCATCAGTAAACAGGTACCGATGCCAGGTTTTGAGAAGATGGAGCTCGTTCAAGACTCATCTCTTATTTTGATTACATTTTGATGTCTTATAAACTTCACAGAATACACTTGTATAAAATTATATTATTAATGCAATGGATGATGTTGTTGTTTGTTTACTACTATGTTTTGTTGTGATACTGTACATGACGTCCTCCACCCCCGAACGTTTCCGCCGTTCCGGTTTTGGGGTGTGACAATGTTTTTTTCTTTTATATATATATATATATATCCTCCATTTGCCTTTTTTTTACTAATAATATATCCTTCATTTGTGGGTTAAAAAAAATCAAATTTGATATTATAATGTTCTTTTACACCAAAATAATATAATGTTTAAGTTTCATGTTTCATTTTAATCCCTCATTTATCATGTTTATTCATTTCTAGATTTTTAAAGATGACTAGCTATATTTTAAGAGTAACAATTACTAATTATAATATGTAGTTTTATGTCAAATTGATATTAATAATTATAAATATAAAAGTTAATCTTTATGTTTCAAATTTATTTAAAAAAATTAAATATTTTAAATTTTTACTACACAGCAACAGCCAACATGTTTTATAAAAGCGTAAAAATGATAATATACAATTCATTTATTTGGTTATAACTTTGTAATAATACATTTTATAAAGCTTTTATAACAAAAAAATGTAAATAAATATGCAAACTTCTAACAAATTGAAAGGTGATTTTGTAAAACTAAAAAAATAAAAATGTATAATATGAAATATAATTTTTGGTGTAAGAAATTGTGAAAAAATGATGCAAGATTGGAGATTAATTTTTTAAACCATTTGGTGTAAAAAAATGGTATAAGGTTAAAGATGATCTAATCAAAATAAAATAGCAACAATGTATATGTCAAAACTTAAGCACATAATAATCCCCACTAATAGAAATTAGAATATCATAATGTTGAGTAACACAACAGTCACCATATTTTTATGTAATGGTCATAAATCTCATTAATCAAACCCCCTTGAAAAAAGCCTACATGCCATTTCCGTTATGAAACAATTAATTTAACAAAATACCCATGAAAATAATAAAATAAAATAAAAACCTTTTTTTAGTTTTTTGCTTTTCATTTTGTGGTTACTTTACTTGTAGTAAATCTTTCCATGCGGTTAACTTTTCTCTTGGTTTCCCTTTTAAACCCCCAACCCTCTTCTCCTCAAAATCTATCTTCTTCCAATCATCAAATGTAAAAAATTTAATCTTCTTACTTTCAAGTAATTGAAGAAGCCCCTCTCTCCCTGGTTTTCTTGATGTTAGCTCTATTTTAGATACGTCTTCATAGATGCTTGCCACCTGTCGTTTTTTTTATAAAAAAAAAAAATCACAATTTTTTTTATTAATTAATTAGTAAGATGATTAATTAGATACTTACAGTTTCTTCTGCATCATAAAGATTTGTAGCAATTATTCCTGTTGGACCTCTTTTTAACCACCCACATACATACAAACCATCTTCAGATATAACACGCCCTTTAATATTTGGAACCACACCTACAACAATAATAAAACACAAAATAAAACCAATTTTATTTTTTTATTTAAAAAAAAAAGATTTTATTAAATGAAACAAACATACCTTTGGAATGGTCAAAAGGTAAACCATCAACAGGTATGGATTTGTAGCCTATGCTCTTAAGTACCAATCTGTAGAAAGTATATATTTTAAATGCTCAAGTATTATTTAATGACACATTAAAGATTAAAAAAAAAAAAAAAGAATATGATTTTCTTATGGTGTTCTTCTTTTTTTAATTTTTATTACCCGCATTTTATATCCTCATACTCCCCTGTCCCTGTTGCAATCTGATATCCAGAGTCACCATTTCCTATAAAATTAGATTTTGGTGTTAATTTTTATACAAATAACAAAACAAAACATGCACTTTGATTATCATTCCAATGGAATGAGCAATTCCATTCCATTCTTTCTTTGATTCCATCGTACCAAAATTCTACCTTTTAATGTTGTCTTCTCAAAGTGCACACCACCAACATAGCCACTTCTGTCATCTGATTCAAGAAATTTATCAGGTTTCCGGAAGAATGTGAATTCCAATTCCCGTTGACCGGAAGTTTGACCAGATGTTGATGATGCCTTGGATAACAACTCAAAGACTCTTTTCCTTATACGGTTGTTCTTCATTTCTTCCTTTCCAAAACAACAAAATCATATAAGCAGATTTTAAATTTGCAAAAAAAAGGGGAATATGAGGTTGCATTAAATATATAGTCAAATAAAAAATTGAGGAAATGATTTTATTACCTCATCTGCAGATGTTTTTACAAGATCTGCTTCCTTGATGTTAATTTGCAAATCTTTGATAGCTGCAAAGAGAAGAAGTAGTTCAGCATCCATGGAAGCATAATAGTTTGTTAAGGGGCATTTTGGACATTTGACCAGTACTTCACTATTACTCCACCCAAAAAGAAAATGTAACACATTCCATTTTGGGTAATTGCAAAAAATGGAACATTTCCTTATTGGGAAAGTTTTTAAACCTATTTTACTTTTTTACCCCTTGGTAATCGTTGGTTGAGTTTAGTAACTTTAATTTTGATTCACAAGTATTAAGGGGCATTTCGGACATTTCATCAATAGTCCTATATTTTTTTTACTAAACTATTTGTAAAGTCAAACATGACATTTTTTGGAGTATTTCATAATATTGTTCATGATATAAAATATAAAATTAAAACATATACGTATACGTAATAACTGCATTTCTAGTTCATATGAACATAATAAAAAAGACACATTTTTTCCACCTAAAAGATTATTATAGATTAAGAAAAAATATAATTTTTGAGCATTTGCTAAAAAAACAATAAAAATTACCAAGAATTTCTCGTAGCTCTTTTGCAGTACAAGCTGCTTGAACGGGCCCACGTCTGCCAACAAGATAAACTTTCCTGAAATTTATAAAAATATATATTAGGAACAAATTTAAATTTCAGAAGTTAGTTTAATTATTTTAATTAGCAATTAATGTAATAACCTTATGGAACTCTCCCTAAGAGCATCCAAAGCATGGCTAGCAATATCAGTTGTAGATAACTCTGTAGGTGACCTTAAAAGAATCCTTGCAACATCAAGAGCCACATTACCCTAACAATAAAAAAGTTATTTTATATATATGATTTATATAGATAAAATTAAACCAGTTAAAGAAAATAAGGTATACCACTAAATAAATTATATATATATATATATATATATATATATATATATATATATATA